CATTACCATGAATTCTAGTAGAAAAAATATTCTGTCATTTTTACTTATTTAGGCTTATCACTGCTTTACCTCCTGGGAATCCATTTCCTCATTATGTTATTAGGTAAAAGTTTAGTGATTCCATTCATTTTAGTCATGACTACACAAAAGAATTTCTTGATAGACTGCCTCTTCCAACATACTGACATATTCAATTATCTTTTCTCCATACTTCAATCAAATGTGTCTTTCTTTTACTAAAGCAAATGTATGCCCTTAGTTAAAAAGCTATTTCTGTCTTCATATGTATAATATTACTTCCAATCAGTTGAATGCTGAGCTAACCACTCATACTTCTTTGCTCTTTAAATATAAACATACTAGAGGATGAATAAAGTTGTGGCATATGTATGCATAAATATTCCATTAAATGTAAAATATTAGTTATGAGTAGCATAACAAACTGTAAATCAAAGCAAAGTGATGATCAACATCATATAGCAACATCAAACAAAGCTTAAAATTAGTTTCATTAGTTTTGTTCCATATATTAAATTTAGCTTTCATTTTTATAGATAAGCTGTTTTTGAGTCTTCTTTCATCATGTATAAATTAAACAGTTGTACACAAAATGGTTGTTGATAAAATAGGTGAGAGACTTCATTCTGATCTTCTTTATTCCCTTTGCCCCTTATTCAGATAATTTTATAATTTTATTTAATTTCTATAATTTATGATATAGACTTTGAAGTGATAGAAGGACTTTGTCACCATTTTAGATTTATTTAGTTTATTTCTACAGTTTTATGCTCATTCAAGTGTGCAAATATAAAATTCAGCAGAAAAGAGAAAGAAAGAAAGAAAAAAAGAAAGAAAGAAAGAAAGAAAGAAAGAAAGAAAGAAAGAAAGAAAGAAAAGAAATACCACATAAAAGAACATTTGGATCCAGCTTTTAAGTATGTAGATTCATTTATAATATGGCATTTTATCAATAAATATTAATGCATATCATAAAAACACTGATATGATTAAAAAACATTTTAATCAAAATAAGATTGATGTGTGGTTTATTTGATCAAAGAACATTCTACACTAGTCTTAGGAAGTGGGTGATAGCTATGAGTTAATCAGAAGTTCTGGTAAAGAATTTCTGCATAAGAAGCTATGAGAATGGGATAAAATCCACTTTCTTATAAGCTTTCAGATGAGAGATATATACAATGATATCATGTAAAATTATGTCATGTCATCTCCATTGTTAAAGTGTGTGTAAAATTTTTAGTTAGTATATGTGAGGTTTTTTTCCCCAGTTAATGCATTACCAGGACCAGGAGGCACCACATTCTTGATTTTATCCTTATTAGAGTCATCAGACATGGATAGCCAGATATTATTCTTTGTGGTTCAAATTTTCTACTGGGAATTCAACTCACATGTTTCTATATATCCAGCTATTGGCAGTCAGTTCTTTTCAGAAAGGGAACTATAGAAACTATTAGAACAGTATATACATTCTATCCTCCATTAAGCTCTCAGACCACGAGATAGAGACATGAATGACTATATGACATCTGAAAACACAATACCTAAACATTGACTATATCTTACATAATATAGAATCTCAAAATTAGTTCAAAATTTTGGCACTCACTTTTAATTATCTGAAATTCATTTATCCAGGAATACTTGAGGAATAGTTTGAAATTCTTTAAGATATCTCTAGGAAATCAAATGTCTCTACTCAAACAATAATTAAAAAAAAAATTGAATGGAGAGACATTTAAACATTATTTTCTTTCAAGTAAAGGTAAAGGTTTGCCTCGTACATATGTGCTAGTCATTCCTGACTCTAGGGGGCGGTGCTCATCTCTGTTTCAAAGCCAAAGAGCCAGCACTGACCGAAGACATCTCCGTGGTCATATGGCCAGCATGACTAAACACCAAAGGAACACGGAACGCTGTTACCTTTCCCACCAAAGGCGATCCCTATTTTTCTACTTGCATTTTTTACATGCTTTTGAACTGCTAGGTTGGCAGAAGCTGGGACAAGTAAAAGGAGCTCACCCCGTTATGCGGCACTAGGGATTCTAACTGTTGAACTGCCGACCTTTCGATCGACAAGCTCAGCATCTTAGCCATTGAGCCACCACATCCCTTTCAAGTTCTTTCAAATACATCAGCCCAATTGATAAAATATTATTCATTTTGTATCAGGAGGCAATGTGATTGAAAATGCCACTGGGGAATGAAGTTTCACTAAAAAGCCCATTATTAATGAACCAATGTTTCCACATAACAAGAAGCTGTAAGGTAGACAATTATAAGTCACACTCTGCTAGAGAAAGGGTAGCTAGAGAAAGGGTAGCTCCAGCACGGGTCTGAAAGCTGGTCCTGGGACTGACCCAGATTGGTTCCTAAATCAACTTTAGTGTCAGAATTACAAGATCATTAGTAGTTATAAAACTGAGTAAACAGAGTATAAAGTTTGCAAATATTTGTCAACTGTGTCAATTTATGAAACCAATATGAATTGCAATCTTGTATCACAGACAAGATCAATAACGGGACATTTATTAGGTAAAAAATACCATTGGCTGCTATAATCTGTATTTTGTTACTTTTACGAAGGTTAAAATTTAAAAAAAAACTTTAATAGTGTAGACTGAATAATTAATCTCAGAAATCTTAATTTGATTAGTCCAATTATGGATTGGATTTGCTTGAGAATGTTTTAACTTTTTTTTTCCAGTAAATCATGTTCACACTAGGAACATATGGATATATTTGTTTTGTAGGTTTATGCTAAAAATTCTGTAGTATGCCTTATGCAGTTTAACGTGATACAACTCTATGCTAAATCAATATTAATCAGAAGCATAAAGTGGCTTCTGAAATAAAATGCAAGATGCTGTCTGTCAAACTTGTTCCAGCATATTTTACAATAAAATTGTTTTTCTGACTTTAGACCTATTGGACAAGCAGCAAGTCAAAATTGTCTTTCTATGTATATTAAACAAAATCTTCCTGGTTATTTTCTCTTTCTTTAGCTTCACTTTACAAACTAATTTTTAAAAAATCAGGGACATTTTGGGGTACAAAAGAGTTGACATTTACTTGATGACAATCAAAGAATCAAATGTTTGTGTTATTATCCGCCTTTCTGAAAGTAAAACTAAAAATCAAGAGAGCTAATTTTGAATTAGATAAGACTGACATTATTTTCTAAGCCCCAATCCATCATTGGATTAATCATATTAAAATTTTTGAGATTAATTTATTCAGGATACACTGTTAAAGTTTTTTTAATTTTAATTTTTTTATAAATAGATAATTATGTTATATCATTTTGCCTATTAGTTATGTGTCTCCCAACATATCGATATGACAAGTGGTATTTCAATAGTTCATTCTATAATTGTTCAGACAATATGTTTTAATGTTTTCTGTAATTGTTTAGAATATATTTTAAAGTTTTATTTGAGCAGCAGAGGACATATTATTTTACCAAATGTTGGAAACGGAACATTACATACATTATGATCAAAAGTGCAATTCACTTGTGAATAAACTTACTGGGAATAATGGATACTTTTGATTATGATTAAAGTTTAAGAATGTTTGAGGAATGCTTAATTATATTCCTTAATTACAAAATTTAAAAAATAACCATCCTTCACATGTTGAAGCTTTCCAAATTTAAAAATGGGAATTTGCATTATAAATATATTTTAGAATTAATTGGCATGGTTCAGAATTACCAAAGCAATTGTAAGTAAAGAGCAAGTGTTTTGTGTTTCTTTTTCTTGCCTAATAAAACTTTAAGTTAACTATTTCTTGGGACCCAGAAAATGGCAAAGGTCCTAAAACATGGTGCTCTGAAAGTGGGGCTTTTTTCCCCTCCATCTCAACAAGCAACTGTTTTGCTACCAAAGCTGGTTCTTTGGCTGCGTGCTCCCCAGATTTGAACTGGAGTAACTAGGAATAACCTACGATACCTTTGGAGAACCACAGACTTGACTGGGGAGAGAAATTTGAATGGTTCCAATTCTCGGTAAGAGTGGCTGGAGTCAGTGGTGGGATTCAAGTAATTTAACAACCAGTTCTCTGCCCTAATGATTTCTTCCAACAACCAGTTTGCCAAACTGTTCAGAAAGTTAACAACTGGTTCTCCCGAAGTGGTGCGAACTGGTTGAATCCTACCATTGGCTGGAATGGTTTGGTCTCCATCTTTTTTACAGCTGCTTGTATCTTTAAGTGTATCTTCTGTTTTTAACATCACTAATTTTTAATAGCCTGGCTGAATGCTGATTTGTTTATGCCTCTTTGCTTGCTTATGATAGTAAACTTTTGTTTTATTTATTTTAGTGCTTTAAAATACTTTCTCTTTTGTCACAAGGAAGCTGGAGGTGTGAGACTTCTTTTTCTTTTTTTCCTTTGTAGTGAAAGTGACTCAATCTAATCTATTGTAGATCGTTACTTTTAAGATTTTGCATTTTATCAGTTTTGCTAAAATAACTGTTGCTTTGTTTTGCCTATTTTTTTCTTTTCCATCCACTCTGTTGTGAATTTTTTTTTAACTCAGCTTCATTGTACCTCCTTTGTTGTGATTTATCCATTTTCTTTGTCATCGAAAGGAAGTGTTTACCCTTTTCTGTGAAAACTAAATAAAGAAACAATAAATTAATGACTTTGAATATTATATACTATATATATTTTATAAAGCCCTCAAAAAAAAAGATATAAAAGAGAGATGGGAATCAGATGGTTTTAATGTTACAGTCTTCTTGGAAACTTTTGAAAAAATATTTTTGCCAATTTACAAGTTTTAAATGAAAAAATGAGTAAAATGTTGATGGATTTGTAACAATTGCATTGTTGCACAATGTCATTGTGCTTCTGAAATTATAAGGTTTTTCCTTGGTGATAACCTTTCAAGAAATCACCATTTTGTGATTTGTCTGATTATTAGTGATTACATACAGTTTTTTATTTAGCTAATTTATTTTTATGCTTCTTTTCAGTGGGAAGAAATAAGTGGCGTTGATGAGAACTATACTCCAATCAGAACTTACCAGGTCTGCAACGTCATGGACCACAGTCAAAATAATTGGTTAAGGACAAATTGGATACCGCGCAATTCAGCTCAGAAAATCTATGTGGAACTCAAATTTACTCTGAGGGATTGTAACAGTATCCCATTGGTTCTGGGCACCTGTAAGGAAACTTTTAATTTGTATTATATGGAATCTGATGATGACCATTCTGTCAAGTTCAGAGAACACCAGTTTACAAAGATTGATACCATTGCTGCCGATGAGAGCTTCACTCAGATGGATCTTGGGGATCGGATTCTTAAGCTCAATACTGAAGTTCGTGAAGTGGGACCTGTGAGCAGGAAAGGATTTTATTTGGCTTTTCAAGATGTGGGTGCATGTGTGGCCTTAGTATCAGTACGAGTGTACTTCAAAAAATGCCCTTTTACTATAAAGAACCTGGCCATGTTTCCAGATACAGTACCTATGGATTCCCAGTCACTGGTGGAAGTGCAAGGCTCTTGTGTTAATCATTCCAAAGAGGAAGACCCACCCAAGATGTACTGCAGTACTGAAGGAGAATGGCTAGTACCCATAGGGAAGTGCTTATGTAATGCCGGCTATGAAGAAAGAGGCTACGCCTGCCAAGGTAATGGTAACATGACAATTTAAAGTTTTTTTTCAACAGGAACACTACCACTTCAGGCAGTAAGGGAAGCAATGGTCCACAAATAGGCTGGGCCCTCATGAGCAAGATCTTTCTCTGTAGTACACCCAAACTATTATATACCTTTAAAAAGAGAGCATATATTTGCTATGCTTGAGAAGTAGTATAGTGGGCTTTAAGTGTTAGAAAACCATGAATGAAGAGGAAATAGATTGGGTGCCACTGCAAAAGCAGTTTGAAGCGGTCTATGCTTTGGGGCCTTTAATTTGAACCCTGAACTGATCCTAAGGCACTAATTTTTTTTTCCGTGAATGTTACTTGAGCTCCTTGGTTTAAATGCAGATGAAAGGACAAGCATATTGTGACTTGTTATGCAAATTAGTTTAGCCAATTGCTGTAGTATTTAAGGCACGAGGCTAGAAACCAGTAGACCAGAAGTTCTAGTCTCACCTCATGCAGGGGTCTCCAACCTTGGCAACTTTCAGCTTCTGGCTGGGGAATTCTGAGAGTTGAAGTCCGCCAGGCTTAAAGTTGCGAAGGTTAGAGACCCTTGACCTAATGCACAAAGCCACTTGGTAACCTTTAGCGGTGAGGCAACAGTAAATCACTTTTGAACAACTGTGCCAGAAAACTGCAAGGACTTATTCAAAGGCATGTATAAAGAAACCAACCAACAAATAAATAAATAAATAAAATTTTATCTCAGAATAGAATTTTTGCCTCTGTTTCTGGACCACATTTTCCTCATATTTTTATTTAAGTACTTTTCTTTTAGACCTATTTGCCAGCTACTTTTTTTTTTCTTTTTCTTTTTAAAAAGTCTTCATCTATTTCCTATTCAAGGCATTAAATCTAACTGCATCAGTCATTTCCCCTTTTCTTAATGATGGTCATATCCCAAAAATATTTCATGGGGCTCTAATTCCCTGGGGCGCAGTGAGTTTTCTGCTAATGTACCAGATTATAGATACTGAACAATGCAGTTTATTTAATATTGTGATTATGATTTTTTTGTTTTTGTTTTGTGTCTTCAAAAACATAGATGAATAAGCTTATTATTTTGTTAATCCTCAGTGAAACATAGTAAAAATTTTAGAACCATTTAAAGCTTAAAATTAATGTAAAAAGAAACAATTTATATTTGATATATAAATATGCAGTATATTTATTTATATATAAACTTATATTTTAGCACTTATCTTATATTTTATATAAAATATATTGCTGTTTGGGTCCCTGTTCTTAAAATGAAGTTGAGTGATTTCAGTTTGTTTTTAATCTAGATTGTGTATGGTATAGGCATGAAAGGAGTTTTTAACTAGTGCTAAGGACAGAAATTCTCCAGCATTTTTGGTGTCAATTCTCAATAAATTTTGTAAAATAAAAATATTTCAGAAATTATTGGAAAGGATAACAGAGTTTGTGGGAAGGTTTTAAGAGAGGACCTGAATTTTCTTTAAATCATATCTCCAGCAGTCTGAAGTTTCCCATATTTCCCAAGAGAAAACCTCACAAAAATACCTTCCATTGGGTTTTTTTCACTAGTGGAATCTTGCTTTTGAGACATTACTGGAGAAAGCCAGTAATTTTGGAGAAATTTAAAAAATGTTTTTATCCAATTGTATATAGTCACATACCTAACTTTTGTTTATGCATTTATCATTTATTAATAAAATTTATATGGCCATCATCTCACTCTTGGTGACTCCAATGGCTTGCAAGGAAAAAACCCTAGTACAGAAACCAATAACCCCACCCCTATTAAATATAAAGACAAAATAAGATTCTGATCCTGCAGTCATTTCTTGCATCTAGTTACATTTTTCTGTTTTCTTTGATTGCCATCCTATTTTTTTTCATCAAGGAGAGCGTTGTAGTAGCATAACAGTAGCAAAAGTGACAAGATATTCAGTATGCTTTTATTTTACCTACAATATTCTGTTGTCCTGACAGCTTTTGTCAAAGTCCAAATTTGTCAAATATTTTCACCAAAGTGTAATTTAAGAGGCTCCTTAAAAGCAGTTGGTAATCCAATCTGCACATTGTTCTTTCTCACTGCGTTTTTTGTATTTGCCAGCTGTGCTTGAATTCTAAGATTTACAGTAGACAGATCTGAGTCTTATCTCTGAACTACTACGCATGTCCACATTCTTTCTCACTTTCTTTTTTTCTAACTTCTTTGTTCGTCTGCCAGAACTTCTGCCGGCAAGACAGGGAAGTTTGCCAAGATGTAATTAATAGCTAGTAGGATTGTTTTTTACTTCTTTATAATAAATAATGTTTTATTAGAATGTATCTCGGGTTTATTTTCTTAAAAAGTATACTTCAAGGAAGAGCCATGGTCCGTCTCTAATTAAGTGCAATTACCCCAAAGGGGAACGGGATTAATTGCCACCCTGACATTCTTGATATCAGTAATAGATCAGGAATGGAAGTTTAAGAGCCTATTCTCATCTTTCTTTCTTTCTTTCTTTCTTTCTTTCTTTCTTTCTTTCTTTCTTTCTTTCTTTCTTTCTCTCTCTCTCTCTCTCTCTCTCTCTCTCTCTCTCTCTCTCTCTCCCTCCCTCCCTCCCTCCCTCTCTCCCTCCCTTTCTTTTCAATGTACCCAAGTACGGTTTCTTCTATACAGTGATCTCCTCTGAATTAAATTTGAAATTCTGGATGCAGATCAGGCAATCAGTGAATACACAATCATCTTACTAATGTATGAAAATTATCATGAGAAAGAGAAACTATTATATAATTCATGAACTTAGGAAAAACAAGATCCCCTGAAAAAAAAAATGGCATTAAATTTTACATACACTGTTCATGTTTTTTCTTGACAGAAAAAATAATTTGTAAAATCTTAATTTCTATTAATAATTTTAATCATGTTTATGTAATTTCAGTGAGTTACTAAAAATTCTGTACACTATTAAAAAATGTGGAAAAAGGAAATATAAGACTCGAATTATACTGTAACTTCTTCATGGCTTGATAAATCAGCTTTTCAGATTGCTTTTGAGAATTGAACATTGTGTTTAATCCAAATTGAAGACATAGGGTAAACATAAAACTTATTCTGAAATTCATGTATTACAAATTTAGAATATTACATTTTTTATGTCCTGCTTAATTTTCAAGATCATTTAATTTTGATTTTTAACAGTCTGCTCAATCAACATCATTGACATGTTATGTTTAAAAATAAAGTCTGGAGTTTTGTTCCTGGTATTTACAGATGACAACCAAATTTGTACAGATATCAAAGATCCGAGATAAATATATGCTTTGGGGACAAACTATTATTAATTGGTTCAGTCTTCATTCAGTTCCAACCCAGCATGGAAACTGTTTTAGAACATAATATCCAATATCTGTGTTATAAAATATTTTTTATAATATGTAGCCTGTGTATTCACTTTTTAAAATAAAGAAAACTGCTAGATTCATTTTGCTTGTAAAAATCTTCCAAGAATTTGGAGCTTGTTAGCAATTCAGAGAAACACTTTTACTGTAGACAGGTTTAAAACATATACAATTACAACATCAAAGTAACATATTGAATATTGGTTTCCAGAACAACTATTTAAAAGTCTATCCAACTGTCTGATGTTAAAGACAAAGCAAGTAATGGGAATTTATATATATATATATATATTACTGAATCAATGGACATAGGTTTTTAATTGTTTATTTTAGGGGAAATGGAAAATTATATAAGCCATTCCCATAGATTCAAGATAGAGTCATTTCCAAAAGAAGGCATACTGTATTTTTCTGTGTATAAGAAGCTACTTTTTCTTTAAAATATTTACTTAAAAATGGAGGGGTGTCTTATACACAGGAGGCCGAGAGGAGAAGGCATGGCCTATCCAGATGAGCCTCTACTGCTTCATAAAGCTTAATAGCACTGTAAGTGGTTTACAGAGTCATCATATTGCTCTCAAAAATCTGGGTCTTCATTTGACTGACCTCAGAAGGATGGAAGGCTGAATCAACCTTGATGTAGTTCAGTTAAATATTTCCTACTGAACAATTAGAAAAATTGTCTTCAGAGCACTAAATAATCATTTGCTGGCTTTCATGACTAAGACTGAATTCACAACCTCTTGCTTTCTAGCTTGATGCCTTAACCATCTATTTGGAATCCAAAATGCTGGACCATAGAATAATTACCACTTAAATGTATATATAAAAACAATATAACATATACATTTAATTAATATATAATATTATATCACGTTGTATGCATTGATGTTTCAAAGCTAAATAAGCTGAAACATTGGTAAGGATAAAAGTTTTGAAATATTCTTTAAGGGTTATCTTACTGTGATTTTGATTATTTCTATATCTGGTTTCTATTTATATTTGATAATAAGAAAAATTAATTCTGTAGCCCCATTGCAGCTAGGAATAATTTTTTGATATGTTACTAATTTTAATAGTGTTAGTTTTTATCATGCTTATTTTAATGAGTACATATCCCCAACAGTAGATGAATGAGTAGTAGGTATGAATGGTAAAATTGTGTTTTGAGGGAAGGCATTTATCTAGATTTATGATTGGCTTTGATAGATGGTTTTGTCTCATTGTGAATTATTGGAATACTGGTTTCTATAAAACCAGATGCAGCATCAGTAAATGTCTTTCCATTTATCCAGCAAAAACATTCATAAAGGCATGAAAACCAAGTGAATCGTACAATTGGTCATTTTTCTTATTATACCACATTTAAATGGTTAATTTGTAGAAACCATTTTCATTTGTTTATTTAAAATATTTACATTATGTCTGTATAATTATAGTTTGATTCTCTGACTGGTTGTTTTCTCTGCTCTGCTTATGCTCAGAGCTAATAAGGTAGCTCGTTAGTTCAAGGATGACATACATAATACCTATTAACAGGTTTTGATAAAAAGCTATTATATAAATGGGTATGTTCTGTGATCAATGCAAATGCAGTAAAGTTATTTCATTTTGAACTGAATGTGGCTTCT